ATAGCAGCTGCCTTGCACTTGGACAGCTGTGACTGGAGATCCGAAGGTAGCTTTTTCATTTTTCTACTACAGTGATGGTATATAGGACTCCAAGTAACCACAGATCTGTGTGTATATTTGTGGGGGGCCAGATTTTACTGAAGTATTTTCCAGATTTGATCTCTGAAATGTGAGTTTTCTTTTTTCTTCTGGTAATTTTTTGGTGCTGTCCATTGTCAGCCAAGATTCCAGATTAAATAGACTATTTCTACATTTGTTTGACCACACTTGGTGTGGTATGTCGATCAGAAAGCAGTTTGGCTTCCAAAATACTCTTCTGGTTTAGAAAAGAAACTGATCCTGTTCAGGGCAGACAGGATTTTATTTTCTTCTAAAACACCAACCCAGATTTAAATATAGTTTTTTGTTTTGGTTGGCTGCATCACCTGTCAAGTGATCAGTGAGAATTGCATTTGAGCAGAATAAACCATGCAGAACGCTTATTATTCTGGAGTATGGGAGTAGCTGGACTTGAGATTTCTCTGCAGTCACTTTCTTAACATCTGTAGGAGAGGGGAAAGAGAGAGCAGTACGTCCAAATGGCATGCCTAAGAGGGGAATGTAAATTATCCTTTCTGTTTATTTGCCTTTAAAACCTGTCTGCTAAACTTCTTAGCATTCAGATGCCACTGTGATAGGTGCTTTATAAATAATATTATCTTTTTACAGTTTTAGTCAAAATAGAATGTGTCCTCACTTACCCTTTCCAAATTTGTCCATAGGCTATTATTATATAAGAAGAATAAAAGGAAGAAATAGCTACAGAGACTTAGAAAGCTGTAGAGTTTATCAATTTTTAATGAAAAGATCTTACTAAGCATAAAACTCTCCCATTCCTCCTGAACAAGTGATGTAGACAACATTAAATTCAGAGAAGCCTGGCTGCTGCTACAAAATTGGTGAAAAACTTCATTTCATACCATCCTGATGCCCTCTGCATCTTCCCAGGCTAAATGTGCTGCAATGGGAAAGGTTTATAATGGTTAATACAGGAACAGTTCATCCATAACAGGTGGCCTTGGGTTGATGTTGGCATCGTGTGCTCAAGCACATGCTGAATAAACTTACTTGTGCCATTTTAACAAGCTAGCATCTTTAGATTAGTGAGAAATAGTTGCTTGTTGGCTCTGCCCGAGCTGCTTTGCTATTCGTGTTTTTCCAGTTTTGGAGAGAATACTTTTTGCCCATAAATCTTACACTGTTCTGAAATCTGATAAATATAGTAATGCAGAACTGGTGTCACGGCCAGCAAACAAAAGCTAGGGATGAGATGAAGAGAACTACAATATTACTCCAAGAGCCAAGTTCCTCAGTCTTCCAACTCTCTGATACAGGCAACAGACTGGGAGACCACTTGCGTTATGCTTGGAGGTGCAAGAGAGCCCTCTGGCCTCCTACCTCCACAGCTGTGTATGTGAAAGCGGGTAGCTGATCAAGGGAGGTGGGCTCTTGTCTGCACAGTGGATGCTTTTGCAGAAAAGATGGATGCTTCTTGATAATGAATGTTTTTCCGGCTTGTGCCTTGCCAACATACTTAAGTTTGTTCAACTGTAAGTGGGGTAGATCTCTCTCACCCCAGCACTGGTATGGTTACACAGCAATAACCTGTGTCATACAACTTATCTTAGCAGAGGAGGAGAAACGAGCAGTATAAGAAGGTGTTTGCCCTGTGATGACTGGCAGCTTGGCAGGAAAGGGGAGCAGTCCTGCAGGAACTTTAGAAGCACTCTCAAGAAAGATAGTGGCCTTGACCAACACCTGGTGAGTTTCAAAAGAGCCAGGGCAGACTTGGGAGAGGGAGGAGGGAATAAGCAATAGGAACTTTGAAGATTGTAGCCTGGGTTGGGCAAGGGAGTAGCTTTGTTGTAGAGAGGAGTGGCAGGTTACTTCGTAGCTTCCTCGTTGGCCAAATACATGAAGTAATCTCTGGCTACTAATTCAGACCATCAGTTAGAGCACTTCTCTGTGAGGATATTTGTGTCTGAGAAGGACTGTGTTGTTAATTGCTTTGCCATGGAGGGTTTATTGGGTTTATGTGGCAAGGTTTTGATAGCAGCAGGACTGCAGGGGTGGCCTCTGTGAGCAGAACCCAGCAGCTGCCCCATGTCAGACCAGAGCCAGCTCCAGCCGGCTCCAAAGGGATCTGCTGCTGGCCAGAGCTGGGCCAGGGAGCGACATTGGGTGGGCCTCTGGGAGAGCAGAGTTAAGGAAGGGGAAAAAAATGCTGAGAAGGACAGCATGCCATGGGAGGGACCCCACGTGGAGCAGGGGCAGAGCATGAAAATGAAGGAGCGGTAGATTACAAAGCATCAGGGACTGACTGCAGCCCCCGTTCCCTGTTCCTCTGTGCCACTCGAGGTGAGGCTGGGAGGGAAGGGGGTTGAGGGGGTGAGGGGTTGTTTTGGGGTTGCTTTTAGTTCTCACTGCTCTAGTCTGTTCTAAATAGGCAGTGAAATACATTAAACTTCCTTATGCTGAGTTAGTTTTGCCCGTTATGGTAACTGTTGAATGATGTCTCTGTCCTTATGTTAGTCCATAAGGGTTTTTCATGCTGTTTTCTCCCCCGTCCTTTGGAAGAGTGGGAATGCGAGCCAATGTGATGGTGCTGAGCTACCTACTGGTGCCCAAGCACCACCGAGGGAGAGAAGTATACCTCTCAATTAAGTTCCTCAAATACTACATGAAGAAAAATGTTTATAAACTGTAGTTTTGTTGACAGCTCCTTATCACTGATGTTGCTTTCTGCTCTATCCTTGACCAGTCTGAAAAAAAGAGTGAGTCTTGTAAAAATCTAGAAAATACCATTTTTCATCTACTGTTGAGTACAGTCTTCAGGGTGGTTGTTGGTTTTTGTTGTTGTTGTTGTTCGTTTTCTGTGTTCTTGTTGTTCCTGGTTTTCCTTTGAGGCTGTATGGAAGTTGGAGATTCCCTGAATTCTTAAATGTGAACCAAGGAGGTGAAGACCCAAAGACCAAGCCACTTGTTTGTTCAAAGTGAGATACTGTTACTAATGGCTCAAAGATGCAAGCTGACCACACAGTTTTTGGCACAGTTACCATTTTAGTTAAAAATCTGCGTACCTGTGGAAAGTCTGAGAGGTTGGTAATAAAGATTAATGAAATAAAATGTTAAACACAATCCCCAGCAACTTGTGTTTCTCCTTGCACTTAGCTGGTGAGCAGCTAATGAAATGGAAGTGTGTTTACATCTGACACTGAGCTGTATGCATACTAGTGGAGTTGATATTTTCCATGGAATACAGATTGTTGGCCAAATTTTAGCAACCTGCCAGCATGCTAGACAGATGCCTGGCTTTAGTTAGCTCTCAAACAACATTGCTCACATTTTAGGTATCTAAGCCTATAAATTCTGGTCAACCACAGATGCCCTAGGCAGTTAATTGCAGCTTATATAGAGGTTAGGTCTCATTCTTACAGCAATTTTGTAAAAATTCAACCAGAGTCTGTCCTGATGTACAAAACAACAGTCGGATGCGATGTACTCCGATCTGTATTCTCTTCAGTCCACCAGCATGAATACAGTTCAGTGATTATGGTTTATCTCAAAACTTTCACCTATATTCTTTTTATTTTTACCATGTAATTACGTCTGTTCATCATGTGTTCTTGGACAGTCCCTTTCATACCAGAACTGTAAAGTAAGGGGCCATTTGCATGGTATTTAGCAGGCAGACACAAGCTCGCTCTGCCTGTGCCTGGAGCCAGATGGATGCTGGCCAGCTCTGAGCGGAAGCCGTGCAGCGTAGAGATGAACCTCCGCTAACGCGCTCTTCTGCGAAGCAGGTGATAGTATTTCAGGCCATTCAAGCACACGAGCACGATGCTGGCTTGCAACATGGACCTGCAAAAGCGTGACGTCCTCTGCATAAAATCCAAGGTCTGAACTTAAACCACTCCTGCTGCTAGTGCTGGGATGAGGCTACTACGCAAGGCAAATTTCTGCTCTGCCTCATTCAGTTTCAGTGGATCTGCTGCCCCCATGATATTAACCTTAGGGCATCCTGCCTTTCCCTATTTTAAATTCTTTTCGAGTTAAGTGACACTTGCTGATTTTAACTGACATGGTTAGGGTTCTCATCCAAGATTTAACATGCAGAATGAATTTACCTTTGGAAGACATACTCTGTAAGTGAGTAGGCTTCCAAAAGAGAAAGTATTGCGAGGAAAATCCGCTTCTGTTGTTTGTTTCCTGTGTCCAGCCATCCTGATGGTGCTGCCTCGTCAACAGAAGTGGCAAAAGCCGTTCTTTGGAGGGATCAGAAGGGCATGCCTTATGTTCTTTTGAAGTGCATATGTTTGGTGTTGTTTTTTTTGAGGAATCCATGGTATTGTTTTGTTTGTTTCCCAGAATCTGCTAGCTGTTGCTTCATCTTTACCTTCTAGGAAAAAAAAAAAAAAAACTTGTAAGCCTTACTGAAAACTGGACTGAAAATAGTTTCTGAAAACCAGAGCTCAAGTTGGGCTAGGTTCACTGACACAATTAATATTTAGCTTTCATTCATTTGGTGTCACTGCTTTTCTTCCCCTTCTGTGACAGCTTCAGGGTGACATCTTCAAGAGATACAACTGAGAGGGGAATATGGCAAAGATCTATAAAACTAAGTGACATCAAGATGTGTTCATGCTCTCTCCTAGTACAGGAAGTAAGGGTTTAACATGACATTCTCGGGGTTATTTAGGACTGAGCATGGGGTGTTTTATCAACTTGTCATATGTTCTGGTTTCACTGAAAGAGTTTGAGAATGCACGGTATTTGGTGGAGGGAGTAGCTGTCCTTTCATTTTCATGGAGCAGTGAAGTAAGGGGCTGAGAGTTCGTTGACATTTGTCAAATACCAGCGCTTGCACATGAGGTATTGAAAGTAAAGGGATGCACAAGAATGTTTCCTATCCTGCAAGGGGAATAAACTTATCTTGCCTTTTTTTTTTTTTTTTTCCCCAGGCATCTTGCTGCTACTAATGAACTTTATCTTTACAAAGTACTACCTACAGATGAAACTCCCTTGTGAAACTTCATTTAAGGTGAGTTTGTGTTTATTTACTTGCAACAGCACTTCTGTCGACTCAGCTGTCACAGGTGAATATTCACCAAATGATGTTCCATGAGCAATACAGGGGTTTTGAGTGAAATATTTTCCAGAAGAGTCCATTATAGCCCATGTAGTCATCTGTGTGAGCAGCAGTGCTTGATGCACAGGTAGAGCAAAACAAATGGAATTCAATCCCAGACACAGAGAAACAAAGGTTATTAAATAATTTGTTAGAAAAGTGCCGAGGCCTGGAAGAAGGAAAATGCTGCAGAGAAACAGAAACACAAGCTTTTCAGAGCTGGGCAACATGCAGAGCTCTATTCAATCTTTCGCTGTTGAAAGAGGAGAGGTAATGTTTGTATGTCCTTTGCAGTTGCAACGAATTTTAGTCAAACACAACCAGCAGGCTTCAAGTCGATTCACTTTTTTTGCCACGTTCAAATAACCTTTGGAGTTCCATGCTATAAAATAATTGGCACTAAAAGACTTTGCTGAAGGAAAGCTTTGCTGTGGCGGTGCTGGTATTGCTGATCGACACGTACATGTACTCCCCGCTCAGATGATGCCGCAGCTGCGCGGCTTCTGGCTGGAAACGCTCCTCCAGCGCAGCGGGCAGCTCCCTGGGCAGCGCCGGCGGAGGACCAGGAGGAGGAGGAGGGCGAGGGCCGGGGCCGCGCCCCGCCGTGCGCCTCTGCCGGCCCCTGGCGGCGGCAGCGCGGGACCACAGGGCGCTGCCGGCGGGCTGGGCCCCGGGCCGGTACCGGGGGAACGGGAACGGGAATGGAAATGGGGCCGGGACCGGGGTCTGGCCGCCCACTGCCCAGACTGCGGCTGCGGGTCAGGTTTGGCCCTTTGCGGGCACGCCCCTGGGTGTCCTGGTCTCCCCGGTCTCCGATTCTGGGGATGCCACACGCTTTGTGTGCCTAGCAGCTGGGCTTCAAAAGCCACTGAAGCAGCAGTTGAGAGGGACGTGCACAATGTCCGCACACAGTCTGTGCCCGTTTCAAGTGAAAGATGTTTCTCCTCTAATACAGAGCGAGCACAAACACAGCACGAGAAATCCAGCAAATGCTCCAGGGTTGGATGCAGCCAGGGTGAGATGTAACCACGTGGCACAAAGGAATATGAGGAGAGGGCCAGACAAACTGGAAGTAGCTGTCTTGCACGGCTGGCAGGTGTGCATTTGTTTTAATAACTTATTGCCTGATATCTTTGTGTGTTTGTGGAACTTCACTCTGTGTAGAATATAATGTGAAGGCAAGCAGTAATTAAAACAGAAATTGTGCTGGAAGCAGACCAGTAGCAAGATACAAAAACAGGGCAACAATACACAGGTATTAATACCGGAACATCCAAGTGCTTGCCACTCCAGTCTTTCTTAGCTTGAATTTTAAATTAGGAGACAAAAACCAATTTTAAAAGACGTGGTTTTAAGTTATCAGGCTAGGAGCAATGCAGGAGATTCCAGCCCAAGATTTTCTTGTAGTGAGTCACAGCTGGGTGAAGGAGTCTCCGGAGTAGTCACAGTTCATTTAGGACTTTCTAGGTCAAAACAGCTAAGCGTGTTGCACTGGCATTACATCTGACTGACCGTTCTACAGTAAAGAACCTCTGTCCTTTGATTTCTGTGCCAGTTAGAGTGGTTTGCACTCCTTCTGTGTTTATGCATTGGCTGAATATCTCTTGTGAAATCAAAAGATGGGCAACAGAGTTCTCATACAGCAATGTGAGGAGTGTTTCTTGGTTCTGTGCTTGCAAGTTTTCAAAGACTATATTGTCATTAACGAACTCAGAGAGGGTGAGCATTACTCACTGAGAAAAAGCAGTGAAATCAAAGCAGGGATTCCCTGAAGTTCTGTTGTTCTTCCTTTTATTGTTGTTGTTGTTGTTGTTGTTATTTCTTTCTTCATTTGACCAGAAGAAATGTAACTTGCTCTGTGCAGACTTGACACAACTCCGTGAGAAAATTTTTGTGAGTGTGGGCAAAGTGAGAGTGGTGGTTAACTCAGTTGGGTTTAAGGGGCAAAAATATGAGATGGCAAAGGCAGATGTGTCTTTTTATGGGGAAGCACACGTCTGAGGTAACATGCTTTGCAGGCTGTCAAAAAGGATACATCTGATTGGGGTCAGTGTGCTACAAAATGCAGAGAACATGCTAGTTGCTAGTGTGTGCTGAACACTTCTTAAACACTACTATGTCATGATTAAGGTCAATGAGCATGAAGGAAGGGCTCTTCAACTTATTGTGGAAGATGTTAGAGCTTTAAAACTGCAGAAAACAGAAGCTGGGTCAACAAAGCCTGGAAGAGAATTAGAAGCAAGGGCTTTTAAACCTGCTTAGCTGACATTCGTGGAAATGGAGAGATGGTAGTGAGAACCATGGTTGATTGTGAGAATTGTAGCATCCCTACACTGTAGGGAAGGGAGTTAGTTGAAAACTGAAATTGCAGGAAGGAAAAAAAGAGATGGACTCTGTAAAAGAGGAGCAGAAAATGGGATTCCCTTCCTTTCTCTACCATAGGCTCCATGGCAAATGTATTTCTGAAGTCTTACTGTCCATCTGCAACTGGATACTGTCTGAATAAAGTTCCCGGTATTGTAACGTCTTCAGAAACAGATATTGGTTTCTCACTTCCCCAATCAGATTGTTTGCCTTTGCCCTCAAAGTCTGTGCTTTTAATCCCTAATCCTGGAGATTGTTTTAAAACCTGAAGCGTAAAGCTGCTTCTGTTACTACCAGCGCTTCACTGCTGCACTTTCAGTTGTGGGTTTGACAGAGAACTTGGCCAGTTGGGCTAAGAGGTTTTGAGTGCTGAGGCATTTAGTTTGCCTGGCACTCTGGTAAATGAGAGTGTCATGCTATGGGACACGTTGTACCTGACCAGGTGGAGGCTGTACCTGTTTTGGAGCTGGGTGAACTGTTGTGTCAGGAGGCTGATAGTAAGCCCCAGGGGGTACAGCTTGCTGGAGTGCAGCCATGTGCTGGTTCTGTGTTGTGCTTTGTGCAGTACGGGTATAGCGAACAGTCTGAATAAAAATCATTTTATTACCCTTGAATATGTTAAAAGAAAAACCAAAACATTTGAGATTCAAAAGTCTTGGAATAATAGAAACGAGTAACACTTAAAGATGGGAGTCATTTTGAAATGGCAAAAAAGAAGGCATTATGGAATCGTTTGTCATGCTAATGTCTTGGCACACACAAGCAAGCTAAAAGAAAAAAAAATTAAAAAGCAGCATTTGGACATATCCTTCTTACCCATACTGCTGACAACACATCACAGTCAATACTTCACACATCCTATCTTCTTGAGCTAGAAAGCTGTTGCAACTCAGGTTGTGTGCCCATTTGTGTTGCAATAAATCCTTACAGTTTATACTCTTGCAGGTTGACTCCCATGACTTGTTCAAGTCCAGCATGACAGCTCTCATCCCTTACCCCTGCCATAATTAGCTGAGCTGTTACAGGGTTTTTTAACCCTACACGTGCATTTGAGCCTCATCAGCACAGATGCAGTAATTTAGTCTGACTGCATGCAGTTCCACAACTAGGATGAAGGCTCCTTGCTGGACTTAGTGAGAAGCAGCATATGGGTGAGCAGGAGGCTCTGAGATAGTGACAAGTACATACTACAACCATCCTGATGTGTCCTTCCTTCTGACAGATTAAAGCATCATTTGGAGAAAAAGGAAGCTCCCATTTGTGCTGTGACCTGAGTGTCCCTTCCTTTTTTTTTAATGAACGTTTCTGCTCTTCGCAGGTTCTCCTCATCTAGGCAACAAAATGTGATTCTTGAGAGAAAATAACTGGGATACTCCTTTTCTGGTATCCCAAATCCAAAACGCAGAGTTCAGATAACAAAGCATAACTTTGTGAGTTGTGCTCTGTATACATACATTTAAAAAAAACCTCAAAGATTACACTTAAAAATTGCTAGCATTTGGTAGTTATAAACTCAGGGAATCCTGAGCTACCACAAATTTTTATTCAACCTAAAGTAACAAGAAGAGATTCAAACTTCATGTTAGCAGAGTTTCTCTCGCTTCTTTCGGGTTAGCCAATTCAAAAGACCAAACTGATAAAGCATGTTTCGATCTGAAATGAGGAGGTTTTTTCACTTTGAATTTGACTCTCTTTTTAGCTTATTTCAGTGATTTGTTTTATTTTTGAACTTACATGAGACAGAATAAATATCTGTCTAAAACCTGATGCTCATAATACTGTTAGGGCACCGTGAAATATTTTACTGTCACAAATACAGACTGATCTGTGTGTGTCCTGTTACCTTCCCAATAGCCAACAGTGGTCCTTCCTGTATGTTAGACTCCTTTGTGTTACCTCAGTCGTTACAAAGGTATCTTTTAGGTCATCTGAAGTATGTTTGCTTTTGAGTCTTATCTTTTTCTTCTATCCCAAAAAGTGAAAGTGGAGAGAGAAACAGGATTGGTGAAAAGAAAATAGCATGGGACCTTCTACATAGAAGAAGCCATCTCTAAAACAGGGAAGCTGTAGTATGTCTACTCCAAAACAAACAAACAAACAAAAAACACAGATGCTTGTTTTCTTGTGTTTAGTTTTGTCAAAAAGTGCACTGTTGAAAGAAGTCTCACATGTTTTTCCAGCAGCCATAAGGGGTTGCTGTAAAGGCATCAGCTGATCAACTAATATACAGATCTGTTGCATTCAAGCTTATGTGTCTTTCAGTCTCGCAGTTGCTTAGTCAGATGGCAGTCTATTTTTATCCAAGGTTTGTCGCCAGATGGGATAAAGGGGCTCATCTGACTGACAGGAAAGCTTAAATTTTTCCAGGCCTGTCAGGAAAGCGTTCTTGTAACAAGGAGAAACCTTGCTATGTGCCATTTCCCAAACAGAGGACTGACCAGAGATAAGACTCTTAAGTAAAAGGATCAGCTCTCTTTACTCAGAAGCTACACAAGAATGGTATACCATCTGCTCTCCTGACTGTTCTTAAAGGATAAATGAAAACTGCCAAGAAGTTTGGCCAGATTTTCTCCTTTATTCTTTTTAATAAGCTTTTTTGCTGGCATTGCCTTATAGGTAGATCAGCATGCAGTTTTTAAAGGCAATTATTAGTTGTAGCTTGGTACAAGGTAACAATGGTTACTGAGACACAAGTTGAAGTACCTAAATATGTAGGTGAACAAAATAAATTGTGGAGAATTTTCTAGATGTAATACATGCCTGGTAGCTGACACAGGATCTTTCGTAATCTTTATTTGTACTCCACAACGAAGGCTTAAGGTGTTTCTCTACTTTGTTTTATGTTTATCATTGGCCAGCTCTGTTGAGTTTTGCTGAGTTTTAATTTTGCTAGTTCATTGAAATTCAGTTGTACAACTTCTGTGTGAACCTTCCTGAAGTGCTTAGTTCTGCTTTTCAGCACCCAGAAGAGGCACTAATGTTATCCCTGTTTAATTATTAGAGGAGCAGAATTAATAGGTCAGGAAACAGGCATGCCAATCTTAATTGATTGTCCCGTCATGAATACTTGTAGCCCCGTACTCCTGTTGATTGTAGTGGTGAAGAATCGGTGTTGACTGTCATGGTGAAAGTACTTCAGGCTGACACATGTTTAGAAACTTCTTCGCTTAGTAACTTGACCAGGATAACCTAGAAAGCCTGTGACAGAACTAGGGCTGTATCCCAAAACTTCCCACCTAATTACAAAAGCATTGTGGGCTTTGTTTGTTTTTAAATGTCAGTAATTTATCATGATTATGAAAACCAAATGTACAATATCAGAGTTAAATTCAGAATCTGAGAATTGTGGGGGGGAGGTATATACACACATAACTGTGGAAGGGATAGAGTTTTCCATGTTATTATGAAGAAGTTAAACTTCCATTTCTTATTTTCTCAATGGGATTCTTGGGTTCTGGTCAAGTGTGGTGTTGTGTGTGTGTGTGTGGCGTTTTTTGCTTTTTTGTTCTCTTTCAAGTTAGCAGCAACTCTCAAGTTCTTATTTCTTCAATTTGCAGCTGAGCAAGTGAATATTTGGCAATACCACTGATGTCTGTTTGCAGGGGTGCAGCGAGGAATCATGATTAAAAGTGGTTCAAAGAGCTGATTGGAAAGGGGACCAGGATACCTCCCCAGGCAGCTGTGGGCAAGATGGTTACCAGGTAGGGTAATTACCTTGTCAGTACCGTGCTGAACAGTCCTGAGGAGGTGAGTATAGAAAGGCCAGTGGTGACTTTGGCTGTCATAGTCAGTAGCATTAAGGACCATAACGAAAAATGGCCACACTGATAAGGAGAGATTCTAGAAATACAGGGAGAAAGAAACATCAAGCGCAGGCTAGAGAGGAGAAAGGGATACAAAGATGCTGTGGTCAGTGTCATAACCATGGTATCACTAAAGAAGAATAATCTGAGCTTGTTTTTGGCCATGTTGTATATAAAAGGCTTGAAGAATATCTGAAAAAAAGATAGAATCAGGTTAGGATACAGAACTCAATAAAAGACCAACTAAAACATGATCAATTTCCTTGTGAATGCTTCATGTGAACTGCATTTGAGGCATGTGAGTAGGTAAAATTTTGGGGAGAAGAGGGCCTCGTTGGACCTTACAGAAGTAAGAATCCAATCCACTAGGGAAACTTTCATAGAATCATAGAATATCCTGAGTTGGAAGGGACCCTTAAGGATCATCAAGTCCAACTCTTGACACCGCACAGGTCTACCCAAAAGTTCAGACCATGTGACTAAGCGCACAGTCCAATCTCTTCTTAAATTCAGTCAGGCTCGGTGCAGTGACCACTTCCCTGGGGAGCCTGTTCCAGTGTGCAACCACTCTCTCTGTGAAGAACTTCCTCCTGATGTCAAGCCTAAACTTCCCCTGCCTTCAGCTTAACCCCGTTCCCGCGGGTCCTGTCGCTAGTGTTAATGGAGAAAAGGTCTCCTGCCTCTCGACACCCCCTTACGAGGAAGTTGTAGACTGCGATGAGGTCTCCCCTCAGCCTCTTCTTCTCCAGGCTGAACAGGCCCAGTGCCCTCAGCCGTTCCTCGTACGTCTTCCCCTCCAGGCCTTTCACCATCTTCGTAGCCCTCCTCTGGACACTCTCCAACAGTTTCATGTCCTTTTTATACTGTGGTGCCCAGAACTGCACACAGTACTCGAGGTGAGGCCGCACCAGCGCAGAGTAGAGCGGGACAATCACCTCCCTCGACCTACTAGTGATGCCATGCTTGATGCACCCCAGGACACGGTTGGCCCTCCTGGCTGCCAGGGCACACTGCCGGCTCATATTCAACTTGCTGTCTACCACGACCCCCAGATCCCTCTCTTCTAGGCTGCTCTCCAGCGTCTCATCGCCCAGTCTGTACGTGCAGCCAGGGTTTCCCCGTCCCAGGTGCAGGACCCGGCACTTGCTCTTATTGAACTTCATGCGGTTGGTGATCGCCCAGCTCTCCAACCTATCCAGATCCCTCTGCAAGGCCTTTCCACCCTCATTCGAGTCCACAACTCCTCCAAGTTTGGTGTCATCGGCAAACTTGCTCAAAATACCTTCTATTCCTACATCCAGATCGTTTATAAAAATATTGAAAAGTACCGGCCCTAAAATGGAGCCTTGAGGGACCCCACTGGTGACCGCCCGCCAGCCTGACGCAGCCCCATTCACCATAACGCTTTGGGCCCTGCCCGTTAGCCAATTGCTCACCCATCGTATGATGTTTTTATTTAGCTGTATGGTGGACATTTTGTCCAGTAGGATCCTATGGGAAACCGTGTCAAAAGCCTTGCTGAAGTCCAAAAAAATCACATCAGCTGGTTTCCCTTGGTCCACCATACGGGTGATCTTATCATAAAAGGAAATCAGGTTAGTTAGGCAGGACCTACCCTTCACAAACCCATGCTGGCTGGGACCAATGACTGCTTTGTCCCCCAGGTGCGCCTCAATAAGTTCGAGAACCATCTTCTCCATGATTTTACCAGGCACTGATGTGAGACTGACAGGCCTGTAATTGCTAGGGTCTTCTTTCTGACCCTTCTTGAAAATCGGCACAACATTTGCCAGCTTCCAGTCTACCGGGACCTCTCCAGACTCCCAGGATCGTTGAAAAATAATTGAGAGAGGTTCCGCGATGACGTCCGCCAGCTCTTTCAGCACCCGGGGATGAATCCCATCCGGACCCATGGACTTGTAGGGATCCAGGTGGAGTAGCAAATCCCGCACACGTTCAGGGTCGGTTGGGAGTTTGTCATCCCCACCGTCCCGATCCTCCAGCTCAGGGCACCCTGGGTCCCGAAGCCCATCATCGGCATTGAAGACAGAGGCAAAGAAGGCGTTAAGCGTCTCTGCTTTGCCTATGTCATTGTCTGTGAGGAGACCTTCCCTATCAAGGAGCGGCCCTATGTATTCTTTAGTTCTCCTTTTTCCATTCACATATCTAAAAAAAAACCTTTTTATTTTCTCTCACAGACACGGCCAGCTTCAACTCTAGGTGTGCTTTAGCCACACGAATTTTCTTCCTACAAACACGAACAGCATCCCTGTATTCTTTCCATGTCACCCGGCCCTCCTTCCAGTAGCGAAACACTCTCTGTTTCCGCCTAATCTCCATCAGAATGTTCCTGGTCAGCCACGCCGGCCTCCTGCCCCGCCTGCCTGACTTGCGGTATTTAGGAATCGCCTGATCTTGTGCTTCTAGGAGGCATCGCTTAAAGAGTGACCAGCACTGGTGGACATCAAGGCCTTCAAGAGCAGCTTCCCAGGGGAAACTTTCAACATAATGTGTGTGTGTGCATACACTAGCTTTCGGAAGCTTTGTCCCTTTTAGTCCTTGTTCGCTTTTCCATTTCAGAGAACAGGATGGTGCAAACTTGCTGGCTGCAATAGTGCTGTGTGTGTACAAAGTTAAGGTTTTGTACAGGTATTACAGAGACGTTTATGCTCTGTAAACTCAGTTTTATACAAGTGTTTCTGTACCTGCAGCTCGGCAATATCATGGTAAGTGTGTGAAGAACGTAAGCCAGAATTGCTCAAAAGCAGCTGAGGACAGGCAGTGAAGGCTAAAGCAGTTTGTTAGTTCTGTGCAGCCAGCTGCATCAGAGGTGCAAATGAGGACAAGAATGAAGTACACTTGCTTGTGCCAAAAGGCTCTGCTGCCAGCTGCCTTCACGAGTGGCCACTGCTTTTTTTCCCCTTGGAGGCTAAATTCAGGTGTCCCTTTTTAGAAAGGGCAGGGGGAAGTATCTGGGTTTGAGCACTCCAAGTGGGAGTGAGTCCGGGATCCGAGCAACCCCTCCAGAACCAATGCGTGATTAAATGCAGGAAAACTGCTTCTCATTTGTTGTTTGTGTTAAGTTCACCATCTGGTCACTGGATCTTGCTAAACGCCTTTGTATGCAAGATGAAGACGCCCCCGGTTTCAGCCAGCTTCTCCTATTACAGATATATAGCAAGCTGGCCACCTTTCAGTCCTCCTCTTCACTAATTAGTTCAGGCTGTTGAACTTGGGCTGCAACAATGCAATCAATGAAAGGCAGCTAGATGTAAGGGGACACAGCCGTATGTAAAGTAAGACACCTGAGGTGGGACATGAGAAAATTCCATTAGGTACATTCAGTGTACAGGATTTAGTCAGGTCCTGTTTTATGAAGAGAGAAAATGACAAACTATGCTTGTAATGTAAGGAATGAAGCTAGAAGTTGAGAAAATTAAAGGAGGGAACAAAGAATCAGAATGCTAAAACAGAAACTGAAGCAGGGAAAATGACGGCTAAGAAACAGAGAATATACTATCAGCTTCCCTCTTTTTTTTTTTTTTTTTTTTTTTGAGTGTTGTCTAGTACATCTGACAGCACTGAAGTCTGCAGTTAGCTGGTTGGCTGGCAGTTGTGTGTTACTGGAAAAAAAAAATCTGCAGTTTTTATTTCACCCTCTTCCCCATACCTGGAGACTGAGCTAAAAGGATCAACTGTACACATAAAGTCTAGGCAGACTTGTATCCATATTTTTGAGTTATTAATGAAAGGCTTCTGCAGTTCTTCATACTTTGACCTCAATAACTGAGAAAGAGGATGTCCTAGCCACAAGTTGTGTGCAAACACGTGTGTGAAAGTATTTTCCTTTCTCCCACTTTCCTGTTTCTCTGCAGAAAAGGAGAACACTGGGTTTTGGAGTCTGATTGATTTCCTCAGCTATTTTGATAGCTCAAGGTATTGGTAGCAATCCCAACTAGAGGGCTGGAAGTCAATACTGTAAAATACTGAAGAAACACATTGCTAAATAGTAGTAATGGTCATACAGGTAATAGCATAAGCATTGTGGTCTGCCAGGCAGGTACAAAACAAACTGTTACGATATACGATATAGCTAAAATATTTCTTAGGGCCATGTTTTTTGTCTGGCTTAGGCCCCCTGCTGCAGCTGAGCACCTAGCTCAGTGTAACCTGTGGTGATGCCGTGGGCAGCAGCAGGAGTGCCCAAGTGGGCACAGGGAGAGAAGGCCGAGCAGCGCTTTTTGGTTGGGTTAGCAGCCTGGGGGATGGGGCTTCTGTTACCCAAAGCTCCCAGTGCTGTGAATACTGGATGCTTGAGTGATCTGTTTTGTCTGCAAGCCCCACCATAGCTTTGCTGGTGGCACTTCTATTGCATGGGCAGTTCCACAGACTGAGTCTTTCTCTGAAAGTGAAGATACAAAAAGCTAGCATCTGGATCTCTCTGATTACAAAGATAGAGACATTTTTCCTTTTGTTTCACTACAAAGGTAAAACAAATGATCTGGATCTGGGTCTGATCTTGGTTTATGTTTGCCCAGAAGAATGTTTACTTGCATCCGTGGTTACAATGTGCTTTCCTGCATGGACCACAAGGCTTCTAAGCATTTACTTCAGGGATCTTTGCACTGCGTGGTGGGACCACTGATGGAACTCCCATGGGTTGTAAGGGCATTTCTCTGGCTCCTTAGATGCACGGTCCCAGAGGAGCTGGAAGTTTCTCTTTTTCGGGTATCAGTCTAGTTTTGGCCAACTAGTAATTACATTTTATCATGTGTCAAGGGGATGGCAATTTCTTGTTTTCTTTTTTTCTGGGTAGGAAGGCCAGATTAGTGCACAACTGAAGAAGAGAAGCCATACGTGTTGACAAGAAACAGGCAAGTTGTTAGGAATGACAAAGAAGATGTCCTGAAGGTAAGGCTCAAATTAAGCAGTCTTGCCTTATGTTTGTGAAATAATGCAAGCTGTTCTCCTTTGTGCAGGGCCAGCTTTGGCCCTGGATGTTTAGTGACTAAAATGAAGCACTGGTATGTATTCGGAGGAGCACGGATACGAATTCAAAGGTACCTGGGAAAGCACAGAAGAGAAGATGGATGAGAGATTTCCCTGTGGAGCCTTGCTGGACAGTCCACCTAGGCACAGGTAGGCTACATTGTCAGACCAGCGAGCAAGCATGGTTGGTGAACAATGAGAAAAAATACGATCTGTAGGATGATATTTCTGGCAGATTTTTGGTTTAACAAAGCTCTCTCAGTTATTTTCCTAGCTTTGTCTTATCTGACACATGTTAATCATGCTCGTAAAAGAGTCAAAAGAGGAATAATAGAAAGGCTTTGGCCAGGATTGCCATGCCTTTGATCTGCAGTGTTCAAAGTGTACACAGGGTAATGAAATTAAGAATACTTACTGTTGATTTTTTTTTTTTCAATTAAGAGGGCTACAAAACAACAGGTGCAGATTTACCAAGGAAACTTAGAGATTTCTCTGATGTGATTTGTGCTCTCAGTCATCACCTGATGTGAAGTAGCTGCATTCAGCCTTGGCCAAAAAAAGCCCTGCTTGCTCCAGGATAAAAATAGAGCTTCAAAGAAGGCAAACGCATTGTCTTCTGACTCTTGCAATCTCAAGCTATTCAGAGAAGCTCCCATATGCCACTAACAAAAATAGGATGTATTAATCAGACAGTAAATTCTGCTGTACAAAAAGTGATTCTCAAATAAATTGAGAAGAGGAAGCTCAGGGATATCTGTGTCTGTTGCTATTAAGTTCAGAACTAACAGTTTGATGCTTACAGTTTTCACATATAGAAAAAATCTCCAAAGTAGCAGGGAGAAATTGGAGCACGGGAGAGCAAATTTATAAACCAACCAGGTAACTCCAACTCTGACAGTGCTCTTGAATAAGAAAGATGATTCGTGCTCAAATGGACTCACTGAGGTGTGGGTGCCAGTTACTTCAGGCTTCTTTGTCAAGGCTGATGTGAGGGCTGCTAACTGAAATATTTTATAGCAGTGCTGTCGTAGCAGTGACAGTCTAAGAACCCAAGCAAGATAAAGCTTGGAGGGAGAGAGAATATTGTTATGCCTGTTGCTTCAGGAAGGTGAATAGACAAGATTTCGGTTTGAAAGCCACAAATCCTCCTGTTCCCTGAAAAAGGTCATTGCTGGAAATACAGTAGATCATGTTTTAGTTTCTGATAGTGGGTGGTAGTAGTATACTGTGCTCAGCTGTCCTCACTTCTTGCGTCAATGGACCAGCTGTACTGGGGGAGACAGAGGAGTGTTCTGGCCCTCTTTGATCTCTCTACTGACAAAGACACCGAGACTTCCAGTTACGATGGATTTGGTGTGTGAGACACAAACACCTGTTTATTTTCCATAAAGTAATAAGTCACCAGATGGTAAAGGTTTTTATCCACACTGCTCTAACTGGATTTGTACCAGTAAGTTGGAGGTGAAAGGTACCATATGGTACTGTTAATCCCCGAAGCATTCATTATTCCTAAAATAATTTTCAGCGCCTTGTAGTGTTGACATCTCTCTTTCATTACTGGCTGCGCTTATTTATGTGGATAACGTTCAGATGAAGTGTAACGTGGAGTATTTGGTTTGGGTTCTTTTTATGTGAGTGTTCCTGAGATTCGGTGCCAAGCGGAACATTAAATGCCCTCGGACAGTCAGTTGGGGCTTATGTGAAATGAGTTGGTGGTCCAGCCTCCAGTGGGTGTAAGGACTGTCACTGGCAGCCTTGGCAGAGAGGCAAACTGCAAGTGAGCTTTATGATTTGGGACGTGATAGGTGTTCTGATGGATGCTATCTCATTAATAGTACAAACCCTGCTTTATTGTGAACGATGGCCATTGCTTACTGTCACTGCTGACGAGAACCTACCAGCCTGGGATTAGACCGCTCTGAGGTTCTGGGAGCAGGGCTGACTTGTGATACAGGGAGGAGACTGAAGATTGGACCCTGCTGACTGCTTGGGTGGGCAGCAGTTTTGAAGGCAGATAATAAGCAAAAGATCAGCATCAAGAGAGTTTACCTACACCATGAGGTTTTGAGACTGTACCTACTATACCTCTGGAGCTGTAGGACACTCAGAGATTCAATGGCTGGATGTTCTTCAGGCTAGTAGGTGTCCACAGGGGGATATCAGCCAGATGGTCGCAGAAAGCACCCTGATAGCAACATGATGCCTCTAGAACAGGACTGAAGCGTGCACAGTTGGATGATGATGAGGAGGAAACATATTTAATGTGATTTAATACAGATGTTGTGCTGGTAGGTGCAAATACTAGTGCTTAAATATAGGCTGTTTGGATGAACAGCTCCGTCTTCTACAGAATATTTCAGCTGCTATTTACTGATAAGCTATTGCAATATATTAGGAAAGAAATGGAACTAGAAGCTCTCAGTTCTTCTGAAACACCTTGCAGCAGGTTTTTCCACAAGTGTTTTAGTATCTGAGTTGACAATGTGATTGTTAAAAATGGTAGGTTTAAATATTGCAGGCTGATTTAAAGAAATAATTTAAGCTCTTTTTTTTTTCTTGCCTCTTATGTTGACACTTTGAATTCATCCTTTCTTTAGGAAGCAAAGACCATACCAGTCGCTGATGTCTTCTGCAGAGCAGTCACTCATGGAACCAGTGTGTAGGGTAAGTGCCTGAAGTTCTCAGCAGCCCTCTGCCACAAAAGAACAGTTACCGGTCTCTGTGCAGCTGTCTGCTCTGGAGACACTGCAAGGAGTCATCTTGGTAGCTGCTGCTTCCCGTCCCTGGCAGTGAGCAGTGCCCAGCGCCCTCCCAGCCTTCCCCGCCTGGAGAACGGCCTCAGCACAGCTGGGCTGCCGGCTTGGTGGCTGTGGGACCAGGACTTGGCCTCCCTGCTCACAGGAGGGAGTACACAGGGGACAGTCCCTGTCACTCAGGGTGCAGAGTAGCAGGCTGCTGCCCGCTCCTGCAGGATGCCAGTCCCTTCCAGGCCAGCAGTTGCCCAGTACTTGCTGCAGCCGGCCTGTTTTTCTACAGCTTTGTCACCAATCAAGGCAGTGGAGCCATCCCTTGTGTTGTCCTGTGTGCTCCCCTGCAACAGGCCTAGAGCTGCAGCCTGGCTCAGTGCTGGAAGCAGCCTGAGTGGCCATACAGCCTGTGTACAATAGCTTAAACAAGACAACAAAGTTGCCTTCACTGAACTTCAGTCTGTGGTACCTCACACAGGACCTTGGTCTCTTGTCACTACTGGCCTGAGTCCCAACTAAGCAAAGTCTCCCCTTTTGTTATAGTGTTGTCTGTGGTCCGCATGTGGTGCAGTAACTTGGCTGAGCTGACAGTTGCTTGGCAGCCTGTGGTTGCATCTGGCTTTCCTGGTGGTGTTGAGGAGAACCACAAATGTCCATACAGTATTTTGAGGGCAGCTGCAGATGAGATTTAGTCAGTTGGAGGTCAGCCAGAAACCTTGTAACTACAGTAGGCCGATATGTTGCTTCTTGGGATGCAGAATAAGCCTATATACGTGGCTAAGTTGGTCACCCTTTGGTACCATAACCGCGGAGGAAATGTAGCATCTCTGCCCCACATTAGTAGGTATAGATGTGCAGACTGTGGGCTTGCCATTGAACTGGAATGCAAACAAGAAGGGCTTTGTACATCCAGCATCTCAGATAGCTGTCGATAAATCTGCCCTGTGTCTTAGTGAGATCCTTTGCTGCATTGCTTTGGAAAAAGCTCTTGTAATATTTTATTAAAGAAAAATCAAAGATGAAGATGTGACTGGACTGATAGGAAGATACTCTGTTCTTAGACTCTGAATCAAGCAAGCTTGAATTCAGAGTGGCATCTGGAAGCTGCTACTAATAAAAGTTTTGAGATAGTGGCATGCAGGGTTGGAGTTGGGCAGTAAGTGTCTGAGTATTGCGTAATTATGAATAAGGAGCAAGAAAAATAGAAAAGCTCATTATGGAAATTAGAGGACAGCCTGTAATAACGGAAAGAGAAAAAAAAATGAAGTGTTTTCTTTTTCTCCACATCTTAGTGGAAAAAATGTGGAAAAGTAGAGAGATTTCAAATTGTGACTTTTGGCACCAGCAAGGAACTTGAGTGCTCTTCCCCTCAGCCCTCCCTCCCCCAGTTTGAAGGTATTCTTTGGCTTGGCTCTTGTTCATTCCATAGTTCATTTCAGAGGTTAGATTGTTAACTCTGGTTTTACCGTGCTCTGAGTGTGGAAAACCAGAGCAGATGTTTCAGTGCACATGCCAAACAGAGTTGAAATGAGTGTTTCCTAGAGCACCTTGTGTTCTCCAGTGCAAATGTCCCTGCAGGCTTCTTCTGAAGTTGGAGGAATTGTGCTCCTGTCACTGCTGTTGTGAAAACAGATCTGGCATTTCTCCTATCCCTAGAAATTGTCTTTAAAAGAAAGCAGGGGTGGATTTGGGGGACAGGGGAGTGAGCAGGGCTGTTTTGCTTTCTGCTGTAGTGTGCCTAAGGCTGCAGTTTCACTTAAGCTTTTGTTTCTGATTTGCAGTTGCTGACCCAGATGTAGCCAAGCTTCGTCTTCTGTCTGGTTTTCTTCCATTCTTCCGTCCCTTCCTCCCGCCCTCTCAGAAGCATCCTGAAGCAAGGTCCAGTGGACACAGATGTAGAGCAGTAAGTACCACTGTTGCAAGTGGGCTGGGTTGAGCACTTCTTTCATTAGAACCAAGTTCTAGATCAGGCCTCTCCAAGCTGAAGCCGGTGCCATTTTTTCCCACTAACTAGGGGGAAGAAACCTCTCAACAGCAAGGTGTTGAAGCAAGTGCTGTGTAGGCAGCAGAAGTCCTGAAACGAGCAAATAACTCCAGCTGTGTGAGACAGTTGGTCTTAGAGAATA